TGAACAGTAGCTCGGATGCGTGCATCCACCACTGGGCTCCAGGAAGGGTCACCTGGCAAGCACAGTGCCTGACGTGCAGGCAGGCTTCGGACTGGCCAGAGAACACAGTCCAAGGAAGGAAGAAGGGCTAACATCAGGAGGACAACCATGGTGCACAGCAAAGGTGAACATTCTGGATGCAGGGAGGCAACGGCTTCATGGAGCAGGGCTCAGATGCTGGAAAAACAAGACTTTGAACTTAAGGTCCTGACATCAGAGTATCTAGTCATAAAACCCAGGACTGGCTGACAGAAGGGAGCCCTCAGAGGTCAGGCAGTATCTTACAGGCACAGGTGAGAGGAGAGCGAAGTCACTGGGCTGGGCTGTGAGAAGGCAGCAATCAGACATTCGTCATCCTTAAGCTCTAAAATTGAGAGTTCTTTGGTACGGACACAAATCTCAGCAATAGGTTGTGCTTCTCTGAAAGGAAAAGATTATTGGGATGCCTCCCCCACCTTTGTATGTTTCCCCTGGCGATAGCATTGTAGTTTTCCCTAGGATAACCCCCTCCGTGCCATGTCCTCAAACCTTGAGGACAGGACCCCGGGCACGTTCCCCTCTATGAGTGGGACAATGACTTGTCCGGGCTGCTTACCGTAGTTGGTCCCTGGACACAGTGCTCAGTTCGGGAACAAACACGTGAGCCGGGTTGGCTTCGTGAAGATAAATTCTGCAGGTCCTCCTGGAATTACTGGGAAGGAATTGCTCTCCTGCTCAGATTTCTGAGCTATACAATGTCGAATGCAAGCCCAGAGAGGGCAGAAGCCACTGTCAGTGAGGGAGACCAACCCAGAGGAAAAACAGAACTGAAACAGTGAAGCAAGTTGAAAGACAGTAATTCTGGAAATGTAATTTGAGGCTCTGGCTTCAGCCGCGCCTGAAGGGAGGCTGCTGGGGTTGGATGTGATTTGTCCCCCAAGGGTGTACTTGTTGGGACCTTGATCCCAGTGTGGCCATGCTGGGGGGTAGTGGGGCCTTTAAGAGGTGGGACATAGTGGGAACTCACTAGGTATTGGGGGCTTCCTCACACGGGTGACAGTGGGACGCTGGGGCAGCCGTGCTTCTTTGTGACAAACCTCTCTGGGGAGCTAGCCAGGGTCCCACTGTCACCTGCTTCAGGGCTGTCTGCCGTGGGGTCTCTTCCTTCCCAAGGTGCTCCCACCATCGTGAGGCCCTCCGCCAGCAGGTCCTCACCAGAGAGCCACACCGATGCTGGCACCATGCCCTTAGTCTGCAGAGCGGTGAAGAAACCTCCACACGTCAGCCAGCCTCACATATTTTGTTATACCCACGGAAAACAGACTGATAGAGATATTTTCCTGGTCCTCTCTGTTACGATTTCACTTGATCTTAGCCAAAAGGCCGAGAAGCGATCTGTTAACAATTTTTTAAGGCAGCCTGAATTAAGTTTCTATTACTTGCAACTCGATATCCCGAAGTGGGAAAGAAGAGAGACTGTGTTGTCACAAACAGTGTTTTGTTTTGTTTTTTCAGTCACAAGCAATGTTGTTTTCTGTTTTCCCAGAGTCAGTGAGATTTGGGTTACATAGTACTTTCTATTGCCGGGCACTGTTCTGAGCCCCAGGGGTACAGCCATGAATAGGGGTCCTTGCTCTCAAGGAAGGGTAACATTCCAGCAGGTGGAGATAGTCACAGTACTTAGAGAAGAAGCATTTAGGTCTAAGCACCGGCTATCAAGAAGGTTGAGTAGGAGACACTGCTGTCAGGGCAGAGCTGATCTCTCAATGGGGCAGCACGTTTGAGTTGGGGTCCCAAAGACACCACAGGAAGAGGCAGCTGCTCAAAGACTGAGGAAGAGTGTTCTGAGCAGAAGGGTGAGCAGAGGTAAGGCTCTTGAGACAGAGCAAGCCTGGTGTGTTCAAAGGGCAGCGAGGAGGTAAGGAGACTGGAGTAAGGAGACGGAGAGAGAGATGAGACTGGAGAAGTCCTCTTGACCTTGTGAAAGTGTGGATTCAATCCTGAATGCAGTGGGCACACACTGGATGTTGTAGACCCCATTTACCTCTAAGAACACAATTCTGGTTGGGGTGGGAAGAGCAGACCAGAGGAAGGCAAAGAGGGGCGTGGGTGAGACCTCCTGGGAGATCATGTCATCATCCAGCGGGGAGATGGTGCAGGCATAAGGATCTCGGTCAGAGCAGTGCAGATGGAGCAGGGAGAGTGTTATATTCAGGACACATTCTGAAGGCAGTCAATAGGATACACTGTGGGTTAGAAGTGAGGTATGAGGAAGAGAGATGATTCAAGCACGATGACTAAGTTTTAGCCTGAGCAGTTAAGGTGAATGATAGTGTTGTTTACAAAAATGAGAAAGCCTCAGTGGGGTAGAGGAACCCATATTTCTGTCACAGCTGTGTGAGACATCCCAATGGATGTGTCGAGTGAACCACAGATCGGGCACGCCTGGGCTGCACGGTGGTGTTTAGTCTGGAGGTACTTATTTGCAAGTCATAGAGAGGAGCAAAACGGTCACAAAGACAGCTCTGGGCTCTGCACCCCTCAGAGGAAAGGAAACAAAGGAGAACAAGGCCAGGCCAGAGAGGAAGCGGGGAAGGAAGCCAAACAAACATGGCGTCACGGAGTCTAAAAAGTCTACTAAAGGTTGACTAAGACGAGGACGGAGAACTGACCCTGGGCTTTGGCAAGATGACCTTGATGAACAGCCTCTCAGTGGAGAGGTGAGGGTGAAATCTGGGTGCAAGGGGGAGCCAGAGGGCAGCATCCAGTGGTACTGGGAGGCTTCCTAGCCTGGCACGGAGGGCCATGTAGATATGGGGCACAGTGACGAGCCCATATGCTGGCTTTTCATGCACACAATGAAACGCACACATCTTAAGTAGTACTTTTTTACTGAGGTGAAATTCATATAACAGAATTAACTATTTAAAAGTGGGAAATTCCAGGGCATTCACATCACTGTATGACCACCGCCTCTGTCAGCTCTAGAACATACTTATCACCTTCAAAGAAGACCCCGAATTCCTTTATGGGAGTGGAGTTTCCTTTGCGAACACACTTTCTTAGTGTACCATTGAATGTACCCCATGAAAAAGGAAGTTCATTTTTTAGGTTCAAATAGCTAAGCTTCACATAAAACACTATTCAAAGCACATTGGCAAACCAAACTCATCTGTGGTGTTAGAAGCCAGAAGAGAGCCTGTAAAGGAGGGAAGAGGGAGCATCAGAGTAGTTTTTAGGGTGCTAGAGATAGTCTTTTTCTTGACCTGTGCAGTAGTTACACTGATGTGAACGCGTACATTATTTAAGTAATATGCTTACATGTACATTTTTCTGTATGTATAAGCCAAGTGAAAAAGTTTCAAATAACAACTAAGAGAACAGGAGGTCTGGGCTTTAGTTCCAGTACTGAAGGTGACAAGCGGTGTGATCCCAGGTAAATCACTTGACCTCTCTGGGCCTCAGTTTTCTCATCTACATGGAAATGCTAAGCCAGGTGTTGTCTAAGGTCCTTCCCACTCAACACCACCCCACTCACAGTTTCCCCACTTTTGCTGCTGAAGGCAGCTGAACACCACCCCCCCTTCCTGACCTTGGCCAAAGAGGGTCTTGTTCCTGTTCCTCCTTTCAGAAACGAATTTTTGCAGCTGACGTCTCTGTGGTCCCTTTGTCATCAACTGGGCAGCTGTGAAGTTGGTGACAGTGTGGATAAAACCTGCTGGTAATTAGGCTGCATGTTCAAGCATTATTGTTATTTTTAAAAAATCAATTAGCTGAACTGGAAAATGCCATTGAGATAAACATTGACTTTTCTCCCTAGCGTGGCTTTACCTGGATATAGGAGGTTAATGATGTCAGTTCCAGGAGGGGAAAATATCCTTCTGATATATTAGAACTTGGAGCATGTTTTAAAATGGCAGAGGGTGAGAAGGGGAATTTCATGTTTCCGTAAGGCAAGGAGGGACTGTGGGGTAATTACCTGTGGTTCATCCTGGCTGCTGCCTTGTTAACCAGGCTCCATCTCTGGCAGTGCCTACACCCTGTTTCTCCTTTTAGACAGTACCCCCCCCAACAAAATGCTTCTGTGGAGTCTGGGGCTATCAATCAGGAGTCCTATCTCCAGGGTAAGAGCTGGTTAGTCTGGAGAGAGAACAAAATAAATGAAGCAGCAGAAATGTTTCCTGTATTTGTTCATTGTTCAAGTAACTCCTGAGAACTAAGCAGGTCCACTTTCATGACTATGCTGATTTAGAGCTGTTTGCTGAAGTCTGCCTCGGCCTGTGCAGTGCATTAACCCAGGAACCCTGGGCAAGTTACAGAAACTTCCGGAGCCCTTGTTTTTCCTCCTCCGTGGAAGGAGACCCCCCACAAGAGGTGTGTGTAAGTGTGTGTGTGAACGAGTGCACATACGAGGATGTGAGTGAGATACATGATCTACGGACACACTTTGCCCAGTACCTGGCCTACCACAGGCACTGGTAGATATTCCCTGTTTTTCCTCTGGGTGGGAGGTAGTTCTTAAACCTGTGGGAGGGACTGGGCAAAGCAAGACAGCAGAGAATGGCTCTATCCGTTGGCCTTTTGGGGGGCCTGAGGAATACTGCAAGGGGTGGGGGCTTCCACGAGATCCCAGCAGACTTGCATTTGATGGATCGAGGCGGGGTCTCGCCATGTAGTTCAGGCTGGCCTTGAACTCCGGCCTCTGCCTCCAGAGCGCTGGGAATGTTGGAACCCCAAAGAGCCTCCGCCTGCAGAGGGAGTCGGTTGTTCTGAATCCGCCCCCGCTAACGCGCACCAACCACGCCCCCTGCTGCCCGAGCCGGTGACACCCGGCTTTCGCATAACGGAAGGCTTGTGGGGATCAATTTTTCCCTCGCCGCGCAGAGCATTACTCACCTGACTCCCTGTATCACAGGAAGGGGAGGGGAACACACAAGAAACTGGCAAGCGGGAGTCAGATCCCAGCAGAGGGCTCTGCTCAGGAGCAGGGCCGCTTTCCTTGTGCGTTCCTCAGGTTCAGGGAGCAAAGCACGCCACCAGCGCTCAGTCTCCTCAGCGGACGGAATCGTGTTTTGACCGTGCTCTTTCGGGGGTAGAGGACGCGGGGAAGTGACGCTTTTGCTGCCAGCCTCAGAGTCTGCACGGTGAACACAGGCTGACTGCCTGGAGAGGGAGAATGGATGTGGTGAACAGCGCCCCTTCCCCACCTGGGCCCTGCCGAGCCTGACCCCCTGCCTGTTGCAGCCTGCAGGACAGCGGTCCTACCCACCGAGGCCTCCACCCCTCTCTGTCCCTCACCTGCTCTCTTCCCAGGGTGGAGGACTTTCTCTAGCCGGTGTCCAGAGAGATAAGCACCGAAGGAAGGAAGAGATGCCATCGGTTTGATGATCCCTGGCCTTCTAGCTAAAAGGTTTTCTTACACTCGGTTACATTTGTGTGTGTTTTCTTATGTCCTTGGTTCCAAGCGGAGGAAAGATCAGAAGATGGAGGACGGGGTGAAGTTAAGTGTTCAGAGCAGGAACACAGAACACACATCACTAACTAACCAGCCTTCTGCCTCACGCCACGCACACCCCACAGGCCGTAAGAGCCAACCTCACAGAAAGCACCGATTTTGACTGGCTGACCTGGTGTCCTGGAGGCGGCGGACCCGGAACTTGATTGAGCGTTAGAGTCCCCGGATCCCTCTGAGGATACAGCTCTGGGCTCGGTGTCAGGGGATTCTGAGTCCCTGGGTCCCGAGTGGAAATCTTCATTCCAGAGGTTCTGATGACTGGTCAGGTTTGGAGATCCTATTGCAGGCCACATTTTTTTGAAAGGAGGTGATCACATACCATCCGCCACCATCAACAAGGCAGCTCAGGGTTGTTTGTAAGCTTTTACTGCAAAATATAACATACAGAGAAAAACATACAAAATGGGAGCATGTAGCTCAGTGATTTAGCACAACATAAACACGCAGGTGTCCCCTTCCCAGTTGAGAAATAGAGCATTGCCAACAGACGTATTTTGGAGGCAGCTAAACGAAATCTTGAGAATTTCCCCACGTATATAGATCACTATTCTGTCTCTGCAGCACTTTGTGTTTTAGTTGTTTCTCTGATAGCCTTTGATTTAAGGAGCCGTTTTCTTCCTTTTAAAAAATATATTTTTACTGAAAAAATGGAAATAAAGTGTTTGTAAATGGGGAGGGGAGGAGGGGGAGAAGGGAGGGGGGACCAGGGGTTCAGTGATTTAGCACAACATAAACACGCAGGTGTCCCCTTCCCAGTTGAGAAATAGAGCATTGCCAACAGACGTATTTTGGAGGCAGCTAAACGAAATCTTGAGAATTTCCCCACGTATATAGATCACTATTCTGTCTCTGCAGCACTTTGTGTTTTAGTTGTTTCTCTGATAGCCTTTGATTTAAGGAGCCGTTTTCTTCCTTTTAAAAAATATATTTTTACTGAAAAAATGGAAATAAAGTGTTTGTAAATGGGGAGGGGAGGAGGGGGAGAAGGGAGGGCAGGGACAAGGGGAAAAAATGAGAATCAAGACCTATTATGTAAAGGTACAGAATCCCAATGATGAATGTAACTGTATTGTATACCTAGATTGTACCAATAAACTCAAAAAAATAATATATTTTTTTACTTTTAATTGACAGGTGGAAATTATAGCAATGCATAGGGTCCAGCGAGGCACTTCAGTACATATATACACGTGTAACGATCTGATCAGGGCCCCTGGCATACCCATCACCTCATATAGTTATCTTTTCTTTTTGTTGGGATTTGGTGAATGTTAAATTTGACAGTCAGTCAGTAGTGCCTGGCAGTCCCACAATGCTCTGCATTCAGATTCTAGTTTCACCTGCTGCTCTCCAGAATGTCTTCCCAGGAGTTACCCCCAACCTCGCACCTAGGCCCTGTGCCAGGTGCCTGTGTCATTTCTTTTCATGATCAGACTTGCTCTGTTATGTCTTACTTTCAAAGGAAACACGAAAACAAAAACCCCTCCTTAACCCCATACCTCTCTCCTGCCGTTGCCCTGTTCTCCTGCTTCCCTTCCTGGCAGAACTTTTGTCTTTACTATCTCAGCTGGGGCTACAGTTGGGGCTTCAGTCTCCACTGAGACCACAGCAGTCAGGATGACCCCTGGTATCTGCATTGCCTTAGCCTCGTGACAACTGTTGTATTCTGAGCAGAGCTCGCCTCCCAGCAGAAGTAGACAGAACTGACCATGCTGAGAGGTGGAGAGAGCATTCCCAGGGAGGCCCCAGGATGGGGGACCGGCTTAATGGGTTCAGGGAACAGACAGAAAGGCTAGTGTGGCTGGAGCCCACAGCCGAGAGACAGAAGTCTGCTGGGGTCAAAGCAGGTGCCCCGCAATGACACTTCCACACTGAGCACCGCACAGCAGGCGCCCAGCTTGGCCGTTACCACTGTTACTGTGACCAGCTTATCAGTGCCAAGTGGGAGAGGCTGGGGGAGGGCCTAACAGCAAGTGGATTCCAGGCCTTTTGATCTAGATGAGGGTCTAGACTGTGCCTGTACCACAGGTAACTGAACAAGAGAGCTGCCAGCCAATTTCCTGCTGTAGGTATGTTATCATTGCCCTCTCCTGTCCCGTGCGTTTTCTTGGTGAATTGTGTCCCATTCAGGGATTGTCTCTAGAGAATTAGTTGTATTTTTCAATCTGAAAGGGTTGGCTGTGAAGAGATGACTAAGGAGATACCAGACATGAGGTCGACCCCAGTGTTCTGTGTTTTTCCAGCCTTGTCAAAATAGTCTGCCCCAAATAAATAATAGTAAGTCTTCACTGTTTGATTTGGTTTAAGCTACAAACTACACAAAAGAAAGCAGTCTCTGGAAGCAGCCCTTTGGATCCCCGATGCAACGGACCTGCCCTGAAGTGAATGTGTTTTAATCCCCCTCGTGTCTTTGCCACACACCTTCCTACCACCGGCACACTTATAGGCACACATACAATCATGTGTTTAATAACATGCACTCGATACACCAACATTTAATACACACAGACACACACACGCTCAATACATGTACCTAACAGATACACAGCTCAATGTACACACACACACGTTTAATACACCTGACAGATGTACAACTCAACATACACACGCACACACACACCACTACTCAACAGGGCCACATGTGCAGTAAACACACCCAGCACCTACGCATTCAACACTCACACAAACGTCCACGCACAATCTGAACAACTGTGACCATAGGGCTCTGGGTTACCTCCCATTTCTTCGTCTTTATTGCCCTGCAAACTGAAAGCCAGACACTACGGAAAACTGAAGTGAGTCAGTAAATATTCACCACTTTTAATTATCAAATTTTATGCCGCTTATTTTTCAGGTCAGAGTCTGATAGAAAGGAAATCAGAAAAAATGAATGGTGCTGCATGCCTGTAATCCCAGCACTGTGGGAGGCTGATGCAGGAGGATCACAAGTTCAAGCCCAGCCTAGATAACTTAGTAAGACTCTGTCTAAATAAGTAAATAAGAAGGAAAGAAGGGGTTACAGATGTAGCTCAGTGCAAGGGCTCTGGGATCAAACCTCAGGACAAGAAGAATAGGAGGAGGAAGAAAAAAATAATCAGTTAATTCTTACAAGTGAAAACATAAATTAGGGCTGGGGATTTAGTTCAGTGGTTCTGCCACCTGCCTTGCAAGAGTAAGGACCTGAGTTCGACCCCTGGTACAAAAAAAAAGAAGAAGAAGAAGAAAGAAAACATAAACTGCATAGTGTGCTATTTTATTTTTTTCCTCTTGGTCTGTCTCTGACTCTGCTTCCTTTTTCTTTCTGTCTCTGTCTATCTCTATCTTTGATTATGGAAAACTAGCCCAGAAATGAGCTCAACATAAGGTTAATGTGTACTATGGCCTTTAAAGAACAGTTTGAAATAGGCTATTCTCAGTTAATGCCCATAAAGCGTGAAAGTTTAGAGAATATTCCAGAAACTGTCTGGGCAAATTAATTGACATGGGGTGTTATAAAACCAAAACTTTAATGAAGGATCCTGTGAGCAAGTGAATAGATGATCTTGCCATATCTAAAATTAATTTGCTTTGATTTCCAAACTCTGACGTGGCTAGCAGAGTTCTTCCTCAAAATGATTACGCCCTAGAGCATTCTGGGTACTGGCATGTAAATGAGGAGATCACTGTGTCCCTAGCTTGTGCTTCTGGTAGACCATTTCATATGGCAAGAAATGTGCCAAGGCAGAATGTGTTGCATTCTTCATCTGGTTGTTTTCAGACTTTGCTGCGTGAGGACATTTTGTCATTATCCTAGCATGCTAGTGTTCCTTTTTTGCGTGTCTGCCAGCTCAATTTTCTTTTCTTTCAAGCTCCATTTTCAGCATTTTAGGCTTGTGTGATATTTTTATCCTCCTTCTACATTCTAAAGCATCTGCCGAATGTCTAAATATGTCAGCTCAATACAGGTGCTTCGTTTGGAAAAAGCCTAAGAGTATTAAGAGCCAAAGTCACAGAAAAAGGCTCAGCGCGATTTCCATGACAATTGTCTGAGTACTTTTTGGAGGAGGTTGTTTTTAACTTATTTTGGAAAAATAAGTTATTTTAGTTTAGAACCTATTAGTCTGCCACTAATGGAAATAAAAACAAAAACTGCTGCATCACTTACAAAGAATTTGAGAGGCAACAAAATAGAAAACATCAAAAATTTTTAATTATTTTCATGAGAAGACGCATAAAGGATTAAAGAAAAGGCTACAAAATGAGGATTGGTGACTTGTGACACAATATTCAAAGAAAAATGGGTAAAACCCATTTACCTGAGTCAATTTCCTTGTTGTTGAGACAAAATATCTGACACCTGCAACTTAAAGGAAGAGAGGCTTATTCCGGTTCGTGTTTTCAGTCCAGGGTCGGCTGGCTCCTGGGTAGAAACAGCACGCTGGAAGGGCCTGGCCCAGGACAGCTGCGCATGTGACAACAGCCAGGAAGCAGAGAGAGAAGGGAGGAGCCAGGGAGGGAGACACAGGCTTCCAGGTCAGGCCCCCGTGAGCCACCTCCACCGACCAGGCCCCAGCTCCCAACAGCAAGCCAGCTGTATGTGCTTGGATCATCTTCCAAAGCCGAGGAAGGCCTGAGGCCTTTGGGGACATTTTCGGTCTAAACCATAACACCCAGGAACACACTCTACTCCAGCAAACCGCAATGCCTGATGAACACCTGAAGAGCACTGGACTCCAGCGTCACCAGAGGAATGAATGCTAAAACCACACCAGGGCTGGGGCTGGCTCAGTGGTAGCGTACTTGCCCGGCATGAATAATACCCTGGGATCGATCACCAGCACCACAAACAGTAACAGCAAAGCTGTGGGGCTGCCGGGTCAACAAAAAGTGAGGGAGTCTCTCAATCCCAAGTGCTGCTGAGCATGTTGAGGGGCAAGAGCGCTGGCACACACGGGCAGAAACCTGCCGAAGCCCTTGACGTCCAAGCCGAATGGTGGACAGCAGCCCTGCCCAGCCTAGTCCTCGGGCAGGGCATGCAAACCCAAAGATGAGGCTGGGACTGTTCATAACACGTTCACAGCATGGTTTGCGATGGTTACAAAGTGAAAAAAAAAAAAAAGCCAAGTGTCCACCGACATAAGCCGGGTTGCCTTGGAACTCTGGGATAGTAAAGAGCAGTAAAGACCATCAAAGCCATAGCCTCAGATCTTGTCAGTCCTGCCTGGCTATGCCACGGGATCCGAGGGCCTTTCATGGAAGGGGGGGTGCTTGGTAAGTTCAGTAATGTCCCATGGCTGGAGCTGCTCCTGTCCACAAAGCTCGCGGCTCTTTGGTGGCCAGGCCTTGTGCTGGTGCTGTCGTAAGAAATGTCCGGTCTGCTGGCTCTCA